TTTGTGTAAAGGTCAAATATTGTTTCATTGTACACAAACCTGTGTCTTGTATTGTCTGATATGTGTACAAGATGTATTTATGTTCTGTTAGTAGATCCGGTATAGGTGGGGAGGGATGGGAGGGATTTTGTGTGTGTGTTTTGTTTTGTGTTTTTGTAAGTCTGTTCTTTTTTGTGGTTTGTTAAAAAAATTAATAAAAAGACCTTGATCAAAAAAAATCAATTAGTGCTTATAAATTTAGACCATAAATTTAATAAGTGCTGATCTACAAATGAATTAAGAAATTAGCAAAAGCCCTAAAGCACTAATCAGGAAATTAGTTCCCCTTTTAGTGCTTTAGTGTACTGTGTGCCCAGCACTGGGTGTGGGATAAAAACTTATGCACATACTTTATGTTTTACATGTTGTGTCTAAAAACAGACATAATGTTATTAAAGATTCAAAGTTTTATAATCATGTCAGACAGAATGTACTTTTTAGGTTTATATTAAAATAAAAATAAAACATCACAGTGGGCTGGCTGTAGCAGCTGCTGCTGCATCTTTATGTGCAGATATCCTACATTTAAATAATGGTAACAGGTGAGTTTTAAATAAAGCTGTAACTACAAAACTGACAACTACTAATTTAAAACAACAGTTCTAATGTTTGTTTATTAGTATAAGTACTTATAAACCTGTAATACTGTGTAAACTTTGAGTTTTTGCAGCAGTATGTACCTGACAGGTACTACCTGTCAAACTGTTTGKTCTTACCAAACCCAGGAAGGATCCACACAGCGCGAGCGTCACCAACCAGCGGCCACACGCGCCGCTTCCGCCCCTTCCTCCGACCACCCTCCCCCGGCCGTCACATCCCGGCTTGTCCGTCGACCTGCGGGCCACTTTCAGCGCGCTGTGCGGCTCCGGGCCGGCCTTCCTCCGGTCAAACAGCGTGTCTTCCTCCTGCTCGTCCTCCATGCTAGCAAAACGGACGTGCTTCTTTCTGGCAGCGGCGGCGGACGAAGACATACCGGGTGATTTATCAGTCCGACAGCCGGTTATAGTGGTCCGCTGTGCAGATGTTATGAACAGATGTGTCCAGGTGGGCTCTTTCGACCCCAGCCACACCTGTTTGAGGGATATACCTGTCGTAAAGAAGGTCGGATTATCTCTGGGCCATTTTAAACAGCGCTCCGGTCCACAGAATGGCAGCAGAGTAAACGCTGACGGCTCACAAAGATCGTTTATTAACAAGATCGTCTATTAACCTTTTTTTTTTAACGGTTACTTGTGCGCATGCGTACAACCGGACATCACAGGGTTATAGTTATTTCCGGTTCGCGTTCAACTCTTATTTTGGCAATTTACGCCTGATTTTCTATTAATTTTTAAATTCAAACATATTTATAAATTAGTTTTACTGGTTCTTTTGTAAAATGTCCTCAACATGTGATTGTAGAGATTAGTTGACACAGGTGGATATTTTATAACGAACCGGAAGTAGGCATAAATTAGACATGCCTACTTTGTGATGCATTAGTCTAGAGCAGTGGTTCCCAAACTTTTTGTCTTCTGACCCACAAAATATTCATGGCAAAAACTTGTGACCCCAAATATTACTGGTCTGAGTACATGAACTACGTTAATAACGCTAAAAACACAGG